TAAACAGTCATGAAAAAAAGGACTATACTTAGGATAGTGAAGTAAACAGTCATGAAAAACAAGGACTATACTTAGGATAGTGAAGTAAACAGTCATGAAACAAAATAAGGACTATACTTAGGATAGTGAAGTAAACAGTCATGAAAAATAAGGACTATACTTAGGATAGTGAAGCAAAACAGTCATGAAAATAAAAGATGTGTAACTTTATACTTACATATACATAAAGTGCTTTCTTTAGTTATGAATATCACCACCAGGTGGTTATGATTCATTTTGTTTGGCCACTTTAGTTATTAATATCACCACCAGGTTGTTATGATTCATTTTGTTTAGCCACTTTAGTTATGAATTTCACCACCAGGTGGTTATGATTCATTTTGTTTGGCCACTAAAGCATCAGAAACTTTCATTTTCTAAGAATGTTTCTTTTAAAGAAAACAAAGCACTTTATAGAAATTGCTAAGAGTATTATCATGGAAAAAAACATGTCTGTACAATCACATCTTCTACAAGTCAAAATTATGAAAGAGAAGAAGGGTGATTCATAAAATAACTTTTTCCGAGATTTCACAGTATCAGATTGATTGTGTTCTTATGCATTTTACACTTCAAAACAAAAGGATGAAATTTCAAGGGTTTGACTAACAAGATATCCACAGAAAAAGTTCTGGCTTTCATTCTTTTCTTTTTTTTTACATGAACCTAAATGTTTTGATAGTATATTATGACTAATCCAAAAAGTATCTATTAATGGCATTATTTTAGATATTTACAATCACTTCAACAGAGTACATAAGATTTGATAAAACCAGTTTTTGTGTATATCGTACAAGTGCAGTTTGATTTTTTATTTATCCTAACCACGGAGTAAGTGGAATACTTGTTGTATCTGCAGGTGTGGATTTTGCTTCTGTTTTGGGTGCTGATAAGAAAGAAAGTGGTGGTGATGATGCTAAAAGTGGATTGGAAGATCTGACATTTGATCCTAATAAGCTAAAGAGATACTATAATGTTAGTAAATTTTATACCAGTACAAAGAAGACAATGGATCTCTCCGAAGTACACGTCTTCTCGGATACAAGTCACCTAACTAGTCTGGATGAAGTAGATAATAAGGAAAATCTTTCATCTGAAAATGAAAAATTAAGACTAAAACTTACAGCACTTATTGGTGTTAAGCGTGAGAACGAACTACTGAAAGAACAGATGAATCAGATTTTATCCGTACAAGGTAAAGAAGAAATAGAGCAACAACTAGTATTAGCCCAAGATGAAATTCGTCGTCTTGAAGAAGAAAAACGATCTCTGATGGAGACGATGCAGGTGCTACAGGAGGAGCTGAATAAAGCTGAGCTAGAAAAACAACGAAAATGTTTCTCAGGTTGCTAAAAAAAAATGTGTATTTTGTAAATGTCAAAACTTGTGGTTTTCTGATTTCTTGACTGTGATGGCAAAGCCATATGAAACCAAAGACTTGGCTGTGATTAGTTCTAAACCATTTTGTTGTGTTCACTATGTAAGTAATAGCATTAAAAAAAAACATTAATTAATTTGCTGCAGCAGGAATGACTGTTCAAACATTTATGATTCTTTAGTAGATTGCTTCAATGGAATTGTTAAACTACGTAACATTTTAACTTAAATAACGGCAAGGTAATTCTTTTGTAATCATGAAAATTATTTGAATATTTGCCATACAAACTAAATAAAGTTCAGGATGTAGGTTAAGTGTAGTAACACTGTCTAGAGCTTAGAAAGTGTGTACTATATGTGTGTGTGACTTAACTACAAATTTCATGTGTGTGTGTGTGTCTTGGGTAAGTAGTGGAAAGATGGTTTTAATACCTATTTTTAGATGTGTATTTACTTGAAAGTAGTCTTTGATTGGCTGGAAAAACCTATGAACAAAAGTCAAAACCAGTCTTTTTAGTAAACTTGGTATTGTTATGAAGTTTTCTCCATTAGAACTTTCCAAAAGTACACGGAAACGTTGTTTAATGATAATAACAGAATTGTTATTCAGATGCTGACCTAACTGTAGAAAGATTAAAACACGTGTCAGCATATTAATTTGTGTACTATTGTTTCTTTGTTTTCAGAGAGATTAAGATGAACAACAGGAGTGATGGAATGTATGTAAATGTGGGTGTAAAACTATATAAATGGTGTAATTATTGAGTTTTATTACTTGCGTGATACTTCAAAAAGGAATTTCAGTGATAAGGTATTATAAATCTCTACAGTGTATATAAACATGATAGTGTTATTATTAAAATATATTAACTTTTATCAGGTTTTAGTACTCGTATCACACAGTTCAAATGCCTAAAATATGTTGACCAGTTTATTTATAATTGAATTGAAATTTTTCTATTGAAAAATCCTCAAAAAGATTTGGTAATTATTGAATATACTTAGGTTAACTTCAGTGAGGGAAATTTATATTAACTGTGTAGACATAATACATTTCTTTAGTAGTAACAAGAAATTATATTAAAATCTGTGAATCATTTAGTAAAAAAATTGATGATGAAATTTAGTAGAGAAGTTAATAATAGCCAGCCAGTTTAAGTTTTAGAACCCAAAATAAAGAAAGAAGGTTAATATGATGAGAGAGACAGAACGTTACATACACATAACTTAAAAAAAATCAAGTGGGTGAGTTTTTTGTTACTGGATGTTCATAAAAAGTTTTTGTCGAAGTGAAATTAAATTAATTTAAAAACTAATCTACTGTCAAATGAATTAAGGCTTATTTTTAGTGATTGTTGTCATCATTTTTTACAGTTTCAGAGTAAATAAATAATGGTGAATGATAAATGTGAAGCATAAGAAGTTTTAACTGTACTCGTCTACTGTAATATGTTAGTTGACTTGTATGGAAACGTAACTGGCATGTTGAAAAAATAGATGAATTTTTCTTATGGTCATTATCATTTCTCATTTTGGGCACTAGTTTAAGTGAAAGTGTAGTCATAAAATGTTTCATTGTTTTATTAAGAAAATGGTCAGAAGTACTTTGATATACAATTAATTCACAGTCAGAAGTACTTTGATATACAATTAATACACAGTTAGAAGTACTTTGATATACAATTAATACACAGTTAGAAGTACTTTGATATACAATTAATACACAGTTAGAAGTACTTTGATACAAGACTTACACAATTAATACACAGTTAGAAGTACTTGACTTACACAATTAATACACAGTTAGAAGTACTTTAATACATGACTTACACAATTAATACACAGTTAGAAGTACTTTGATACGTGACTTACACAATTAAAACACAGTTAGAAGTACTTTGATACAAGACTTACACAATTAATACACAGAAGTACTTTGATACAAAGACTTACACAATTAATACACAGTTAGAAGTACTTTGATATACAATTAATACATGGTCAGAAGTACTTTTATACGTGACTTACACAATTAATACACAGGTAGAAGTACTTTGATATACAATTAATACATGGTCAGAAGTACTTTGATACGTGACTTACACAATTAATACACAGGTAGAAGTACTTTGATATACAATTAATACATGGTCAGAAGTACTTTGATACGTGACTTACACAATTAATATACGGTTAGAAGTACTTTGATACAAGACTTACACAATTAATACACAGTTAGAAGTACTTTGTTACAAGACTTACACAATTAATATACAGTTAGAAGTACTTTGATACGAGACTTACACAATTAATACACAGTTAGAAGTACTTTGATACGTGACTTACACAATTAATACACAGTTAGAAGTACTTTGATACGAGACTTACACAATTAATACACAGGTAGAAGTACCTTGATATACAATTAATACACAGTTAGAAGTACTTTGATACAAGACTTACACAATTAATACATTGTGTGATTTTCATAATAAAAATAATAATTCATTATCTAACTAAGCAGCCTTTTATTTAAATATTTAATAAACAAAAATTACCCATAAGGTTTGAAATATACAGTTACAGAATTCTGGAGTTAAACACTTACTAACTTAAGTGTGTAATAGTAAAATTTTACTGTGGCTAGACTGTTGTCACAACTGTGTTTTTTTTTCATTGTTTTCGTTGAAGATTTGTACAAGTTCAGTGTTGGACTATAACAGCCTTGACTGATTTCAGCTTTATTGTTCAATAGCTCAAACTATTTGTTGTGGAATTTTAAATATGTTTTCAGTTATTGTTTATGTACATTGTAAATTGTATGTTATGTTAAGAAAATTACAATTCATTTTTTCAATAAATATTTACTAAATTACTTGTGTGTTTGGTTTGAATTGTTTTAATGATGTTCAACCTTGTACTCCATATGAAAATTTTAAATTGAAGAGAAAGTATGAACAAAATGTTCTATTTCCTATAAATATATGTTTTCCTTTGATAAGTTTTTTTTTGTGTGTGTTGGTGTATCCTTATGTTACTTTGTTACGTTTTTCAAAATACCTCTTGCGTTTGGGTTACTGCTAGTTTATGTACATTTCCAGTACTCTCCTCTCCCTGGGGACATGAGTAGTAAAACCTTTAAATATTACTTTTCTGTGTACATTTAGAATCCACGAATAGGAAAGCCTTTGTAGTTAGGTGTAACGTTTGGTATCCACAATAGATGCTAGCGTTGCTATGGAACATTCTATGCCTGCTAATAAGCCAGAACAACACGAATAGGAAAGCCTTTGTAGTTAGGTGTAACGTTTGGTATCCACAATAGATGCTAGCGTTGCTATGGAACATTCTATGCCTGCTAATAAGCCAGAACAGGGGATTTGGATGTTAATTGTTATATAGAAGATATACACAGTGAGTAAAAAAACAAAAACAAATATAATAAACCTTAAATTGCATTGTTATTAAGAAGTAAAACTATTGGCAGAGATGGTTCCCTTGGTAACGAACATTGTATCGACTATCAAGAAGAAACCACATCACTATCTAAACACTTTACCATCAGAATTGTCAAGAATCCAGAGTATTGTTTAAATGACGTTAAACTGATGTTTTTAAAAACAAACTCTGTGTATCTCGCTGCCTCTTCACAAGATCCAGCTTGTCTGCTCTGAATCAGAATAAGTGACAACGGCGCATCACAAAACACCAGTTAGACCAGTTAAGAAAGTTCTGTAGCCATTCAGGTACAAAAAGTATAAGTTTACTTAATAGTAAGAAAGTTCTGTAGACATTCAGGTACAAAAAGTATAAGTTTACTTAATGTTAAGAAAGTTCTGTAGCCATTCAGGTAAATATAACCGATAAAACAATAAATTTATAAGACTAATATTGGAGTTAATCATAAGTGTTCGAATATATAAATGTTATTAGTTCATATCTATGGCTCTGATGTGACTCGACACATAAATCTGGCGGTCTTTCAGTGTTTAAATTTCATGAACACATGAGAGAAAGCAAAGACGTATACATGTTAATACGTCGTTCAAACTACATCTGTTATATTCAATGTCGACGAGGCCTTTAGTCCAGTATTCATATCAGCAGTTTCATTAACATCAATTGTTACGTTATATGTTATTAATATGGGTGTTTGTATTATAGTTTTTACTTTACGTACGTGTATTAATTCTTATGCTTGTGTAAACAAAGTAATTTGTTTTTATGTATAGTGTTTATAATATATACACAGACACACTGTAGATCGGGTGGGGAAAAGTTGTTAACGTGAATTTTAGGCCCAAGGTTCGCATCCCGTGCCCGCAGAATCCCACCTTGAGGCCGTTGGTGCGATATAAGAGTGACATTGAAATCCCATTGTTTGCTTAGAGCTGGCGATGTTGACTGACTTCCTTCTTTCTAGTCTATCAGTTCAATATAATAGGCGGCTGCTGCTTTGCGTGAATATCTGGAACAAACAAACGTATCTACTTTAACTGATTTACTGTATTTGTATGTTGATCGAAATCCTTTGTACTTATAAACCTTTATTACTTCACTACATTCTTTTTTATTCACTTCTTTTGGGGTTTACAAGAGAAAGAGTATATAATATTCATAGCAGACGACGCCTTTCGCTTCAGAACAAACGCAGTAGTGGGCGGAACGTTTATTTATATAAGACATCTGTTACAACGACAATTGTTATGGTGTGAACACTTTCTAAGCTAGTGAAGTATGGTTGTGATTAATTATACTTGTGGCAAGTCATTAGTATTTGGCTTACTATATTTTATTACACTACGTTCTTTATTCAGTCCCTTGGAGTTTTTCAAGATGAAGAGAGTATAAAAGTATTTCAACCACTCTATGTTTGACGTATCTAATGTCGACGACGCCTTTCGATCAGTACAGAGTTCATCACTATTTATACAAGTCGTTTTTTACACCATCAATTGGTATGGTGTGAACGCCCTTTCTAAGCAAAGAATACATTAAAAAAAACATCTTGCTTCAAAGGTAAGACTTTGTTAAAAACGTTCTACAATGTAATTGATGTAAAGCAAAACATGTTTAAGAGTTCAAATTCGATGACGAGGAACCCACTTTGAGACTAATAATGGCTGGAGACGGCTTGAATGGGTAATGAAGAAAAACTTTAATATAACAGCAAATGTACAACGTTTCGACAAGGTTTTGTCATCATCAGGTACCTTGTCGAAACGTTGTA